GTCGGACTGTTCACACTCTATGGGCGGATACTCCACCGGTGAAGTTTCTTACCCTTGCTCCCAAGTGCTAAACACAATGTGTATCACCTTTGTGCATGTGTGTTAGCATATTTTCACAAATATTTTCAAGGGTGTTAACACTCCACTAGATCCTAAATGCATATACAATGAGTTAGAGCATCTAGTGGTACTTTGATAACCGTATTTCGATACAAGTTTCATCCCTCTTAATAGTACGGCTATCGAACCTAAATGTGATCACACTCGCCAAGTGTCTTGATCATCGAAACAAAATGGCTCCTACCACTTATACCTTTGCCTTGAGCCTTTTGTTTTTCTCTTTCTTCTTTTCAAGTCCAAGCACTTGATCATCACCATGGCATCACCATCATCATGTCATGATCTTCATTTGCTTCATCACTTGGAATGTGCTACCTATCTCATGATCACTTTGATAAACTAGGTTAGCACTTAGGGTTTCATTAATTCACCAAAACCAAACTAGAGCTTTCACCGACTCCCCAGTTGGCCGCGGGCTCGGAGGCTACACCCACCGGGTGCGCTCGTGTGCACCCGGTAGAAAACAGATTACCAGCGAGTCTCCTCTTCAGGTGTTGGGCGCCTATGTCTGCATAGCATGCCTCCGCGGCCTTCGCTAGTCCCCTCCTTAGGGGCTGGGTGCCAATATCCCTCTGGCGTGCCTCCGCGGCCTTTGCCGGTCCTCCACATAGAGGCTGGGTGCCTAAAACCTACTTGGTACAACAAACCAAAGGGGAAAATGCCGAGGCTCCAACTCAATAGCCCCTTCATGGCTTCATAGAAGCCCCAAAAGGGCTCGGGGGCTCCTATCGGTTTCATAAACCCAGGGTCCCCAATGGACTCGCTTCCCTACAAAACTTGGCCCAACAGGCGGCACAACGACAGCATGTGCCTAGACTGGCCCAGATACACAATAAAAGGCTAAGACCATGATCCAGTATGGGTCCCCGTCGAACGAGACGAAACCCACATCCTTAGGGTCAGGCGAGGCGGAGCCCGCACCCAAGGGGTCAGGAGAGAGAAGGCCTGGCCGTGGTGGGACCGTGGTCTGACTCCGACCCCCTTTTCTCTGACCGAGGATATGCCGGACCTCTGCTCATTGCTCTTTCTCGACCAACACGGTCGGGGCCGACTAGGAGCGACCGACCAGGGACGCCCGCACTGTGTGGGCCCATGGAGCAGGCGGAGTAGATAAGATAAGGCGCTCAAGTCAACCGCAATACCGAAAACCGTACCCTACCATGCCCTGTGCACCTGCAGGACGGTGCCGCCAGGGCATGACAGGCGAATACGGTAGAGCATGCCAGATGCGCCAGAGCATAAACAGTGTTGTGGGCGCCGTCGTTTGCCGTACCAAGCGTTATGGTAGAGCCTGCCAGACGCGTCTGGGCATAAACAGTATTGTGGACGCTAGCAGCCATCTCATACCCGAAGGCATGAACAACAAGACTAGGCAGCACACGTATACACTCTCTCTTTTTCTCTCTGACTTGTAAGGCCATCCCTTTCAACTATAAAAGGTGATGCGCTCTCTCCTGTAAAATAAGTCTCTCTCTCTCTCTATCGAAGATTTTCTTGATGACTCGAGAACACAACAGCTCAACAGCTCTAGAGACACACACAACATACGCTCCTTCGATCGAGCCTCCAATACCCCCTTCTCATTTCTTACTCATTTGTAACCCCACAGTAAACTTCGGGCACCTAGGCTTAGGAATAAAGTCACCGATCGACCTCAACTAGACGTAGGGTCTGTTGTTTGAACCAGTATAAATCATGTGTCATTGAGTGCTAGGCTATATCCGATCACAATGTACTGTAAAACTATAAATATTTACTTGTTGGTCACTTTTCGCACCGACAATCTTTATTTCTACTAAAGATTTAATGTATTTTAAAACAAAGAATATTTAACTACCCTAATGCTTAGTCTATTCTAATGTCACAAAAATTACGGTGAACACATAATAATACAATGAAACTGCTGTAAAAATTTCAGGATCAAAACTATCACCAATTTACCACAAAAATTCCCACAATATTTAACATAATATTATTAAGCACTCTCAAATGATTTAATAGCTCCTAATGTTAACACATATAAACATGAACTAAATACATCAACAGGTAGAGCATAATTTTAGGAACCTAACAAAATTTGTTTCTTAATTTTTGGACACCTACATAATTTTATATTAATTACCAAAAATTAGCTCAAAAATTAAATTAGAAAACTATTTCTAATTCCTTAGGAAAACAAAAAACGAATCTCCCGCGTGACCCAGCACGCGCGAGACGGCCCACGCGCGAGACGGCCCGCAGCGGGAAATCCTGCACGCGCTGACGTTTATGCAAAAGAGGCCTCGAACTTCTTCTAAATCACAACTAAGTACTAACACTATTTCTCCCTCTCTCAGACCATCTCACTTAACTCCCCGATTTTTCCCTAATTCACCCGCGCACACTCTCGGCAACTCAGTGCACAGCGGCGTGGCGAGTGGCGGCATTGGGCACCTACGCCGGCCACCTGGGACCTACGTGGGCCCACCTAACGGGTCGATCACCATCTCCGATCTTGGTGGCTACGCTAAGCGACAGTGAAGGGTGGCAGGACTCGCTGGGGAAGGTTGCAGCAGTGTGCGGCCATCCACGATGGCGACGCAACTGTTCTGGTGAGATCGGGTGGCTAGAAGCCTAACCAGCTAACGTGCGAGCAACAGGGGCTCACTGTGGACCTAGCCAAGGTGATAGTTGGAGTGAAGGATGACGGAGGAGGGTGGGCCACGTGTGGCCGAGCCGTGCAGCGGTGCACCGTGGCGGCATGGTCGCGTCAGCGATGCCGGGGAAGTGAAGACGCGTAGGGCGAACAGGGGATGGAAGCGAAGCTAGCGGTGCACTCAAATTGGTTCGGGGTGGACCGATGGAGGGCTGCCCTCGACAATGGCCGAGCGCGGCCTTATCGACACGGCGGTGGGAAAACCCCAAATTGGAGCTTGGCCGTGCCCGCTTCAAGGCTGGGTGGGGTAGGGCAGCTAGAGGACTTAATGATGCGGCCATGGACACGTTGAATCGGATTGAGGTGAACTCTCCCTGGCTGATTGCGATGGCGCGGCTCTGATGACAGAGGCGACAAGGAGAGGGGATGGGTCAAAGCTCTGGCCATCCTCGCCTTGGCGGCAAGCGGTCGGCCTAACCCGAGGCAGCGTCTACGCACTCGCTCCGTGACAACGCAGCTAGACCATGTGCGTGCGCGAAGGCAGGTGGGGGTGAGGCATGTGCGGCCGCAGCGCCATTAAGGCGAGGCGACGACGCGAGGCAACCGAGATAGCCCACATGCGCACGGTGACAAGGCAAGCAGCAGCAGCGCAGCACGGCGTCACGACGACAGCAGTACCGCACGGTAGCGGCGGTGACAACGGCGCGGTGGCGTGGGGCGCAGCAACGCAGCGGCCTGCAGCGCCAGGCCACAACCAAGCCATGGCCAGGCCGGAAGCAGTCTCGGCCAGCCACACGCGGCAGCGCGCGTGCGCGCAGAGCAGCCAGCGTGGCGACGCCGCGCGCCCGAGCATGGTGATCGCGCCCACGCGGCCAACCAGCTCGAGACTGTGTCGTGGACAAATTTTAAAGCATCGATAGCAACTAAATTGTTGAGATTGACACTAAACCGCATTCACTATGCTAAAGAGGGTCTATTAGGCTATCAATCCGAGCTAAAACAAGACACCACCTCTTAACTCAATTTCGCAAAATAAATCCCAAAGATGGCATTGTTTTGTTGTCAATAAACTTAAAGAATCTTTCAAGTCTTGAGCTGAATTCAATTTCAAGTTCCATTTCTAGGCCATTAGAAGCATTAGCTAGCGAAGTTATTTTTCAACAGCAAGGATTTCATTGCCATCTACAAAGTTTGTACTTCAAACTATATTTAGGTGTCGCACACATGTTTTATAATATTTTTGCTCAATAAAAATTGGTTTTTAACCTTACTTGACATAACATGAGCTATTGAATCAATTTTTATTTAACATTTTTATTGATCATTTTAGGTTATAAGAAATTTATCTACACATTCTATCACATGCACTATCACATAAACATGATGCTCATGATAGGGTTTAGTAATTTATTTAGGGCGTAACACCGAGGGTGTTACAATTTTTTTTTAAATTTTTTTACCAACGTGAGCTACCGTGTGATTAATAGTGGTGGGCTATTCGGGCGAGTGAGGCCCACCAACGTGGGTGTCCGGACGATCGGACATCTTATCCACAACATTATGGTTTAAAAAATCGTCTTTTTTGTTTTGAGAATTTCGTTTAAAAAATCATCTATGTATTCCGTTATCTACAAACACTATATACACACACTAGTAACGGATGACCAAACAACTATACCCCGTTATCTGAAAATTCTGTATATCCTTGTCAGGTTGTCTCTACTGCTCAACATTCTTTTTTCTAAGCTATACTCCGTAATTGGCAGCATTACTGAAGAATAATATGCCGTTGAGTCTTTCATAGAATGTTTTTTTTGTGTTCCTGAACAAGTGAACAACATTCAGCAGTCAACACACGACCTAGAATTTTTTTAGAATAATGGAATCACCTGTTTGAAATGTCCACATATGCGCTTACATGATCACGTTCTAGATGTACAGACTATGAATGAATTCTTTGATTGATTTTCTGGGGAGGTCAAATTCGTCACTGGCTAAGTCAGCACTGTAGCATTCTATACTTTTTTTTTACTTACATTACACCAATATATATACATACAATAATTAACCAAAATTTTAAAAAATGTCAATTCTTCGACGTCACACTGTCGACCAGTTCAGATTGCTACAAACTTCGATCCAGCAGGGCACGCCACACGGCACGTACAAAAAAATGAAGCCGAGATTGAAACTAATAAAAACTCGCGCGAGGACCGAGGACCGAGGACTCCTGCTGTGCGGCGCCATGCAGCGGCGGCGACCAGGAGCAGCGCACCGGCGCCCCTTCCTCACGGCGGCGGCGGCGGCCGTCCTGATCCAACTCCTTCTCCTCAGCGCCGTCGTGGCGGCCGACGACGCGGCGGCGGGCACGCCGGCGATCCTGGACACGGTGTGCGCGGCGACGCAGGCGGCGGACCCGGAGGGCTTCGACGTGAGCTTCGTGACCACGCTGGAGATGATCTACCAGAACGTGACGCGGTCCGGGTTCGGCGCGGCGGGCTCCGGCGCAGGCAACAACACGGTGTTCGGGCTCGGGCAGTGCATGAGCTACCTGTCCCCGACCGACTGCCAGCTCTGCTACGCGCAGAGCCGGGTGAAGCTGCCGCACTGCCTCCCCGCCGACGGCGGGCGGATCTATCTCGACGGATGCTTCCTCCGCTACGGCGCCGACAACTTCACCGCCACCGCCACCGACGCCAGCGACACCGCGGTGTGCTCCAACGCCACCGCCACTGTCGCGACGGACGGGACCGGGTTCGCTCTTAAAGAAGATGAATAAGTAAGCAAGGATCTTGTGATATAGGAGGCTATAGAACATTTGCCTTTTGGCAATAAAGAGCAACAATAGCCCCATATGAAAGAAGTGCCACGAGACCCCAGAAGGTCTCAAAGAATAAGAAAGAAATTCAAATGGAGGATAATTCCACCTCATTTGAAAAGCCATGAGAGGCGTTCACTCGTCTAAATGGCAAGAAGCAAAGGAAGATGAAATGAAATCGATAAATACCAACGATGTTTGGGACTTAGAAGAAATTCTCAATGGAGCCAAAACAGTAGACTGTAATGGGTCTACAAGACAAAGGTGACTCCAAAGAGAATATAGAAAGATATCAAAAGGGAATATTGAAAGCTACAAAGTGCCACTTGTGGTGAAATAATTTACACATAGAGAAGGAATAGATTATAATAAGCATGCAAGAATTCTTTTAGAATCATAATGGTGTTAGTGGCACATTACGATTTACAGTTACATCAAAAAGATGTAAAGACACATTTCTCAACGGGGATTTGTATGGAAAAGTTTACATGGTATAACTCAAAAGGTTTTGTCATGGAAGGAAAAGAATGTAATAAATATTGTCTGAAGAAATCTATTTATGGATTAAAGCAAGCTTCAAGACATTGGTACTTAAAGTTTGACAGTACAATAAGAAAGTTTGGGTTTTAAAGAGAATGTAGATGACAATTGTATTTATGCAAAGTTTTAAACATGGGAAATTCGTTTTCCTAATCCTGCATGTGGGTAGCACCTTGCTCGCTAGTAGTGGTGTTAATCTACTGTTGGAGAAAAATCAGTTCTTGTCCTCAAGCTTCAATGAGAATGGTCTTGGTAAAGCGTCATTCATTCCAGAAATTGAAACTTACCGAGACAAAAGGAAAAGGGGTATTAGAACTATCTCAAGTGTATGCTTAGAGAAGATTCTAAAGAAATAAAGTATATATGTGAATATACCTACGCCTGTTCCTATAGTCCAGGATAACAGTTTTTGAAACTTTCAGTGTTCCAAGAACGAATGTGAGATCGATCGAAAGGACGTCCTATATGCTTCAGCTATTGGAAGCTTAATGAATGCTTATAAGTAAGAACTTACCCTGACATAGTTCATGTATCCGGGATGTTTTGGCAGAAGTTCAGTCCAGATATAGATCACTGGAATAGAGTTGAGAATGTTTTGCAATTGTGCAAAGATTTATAGGCCTCATGGTGAGTAAGAAAGAATAAGTACTCTCAAATAATTGTGGGTACAAATGTTAAATTTTGACGAGATGTTTAGTGAAACCCACATAGTAGCTAACACTCGCAGTTGGAGTTTTATTGTGGAAAAGCTCTAAAGAAACAGTTGTGGTGTCATCAAAGATGCATACCCACAGTATAACTTGATATGAGGCTTAAAGGACAGGCGAAATAGTTAAAAGAACTTACACCCGGAATTGATAATGGTATACAATAGCAATAACCATTTAAGTAGTTCACTTATATAACAACGGGTCAAGTGTGCTGCCAAACACATTGACGTTAAAGTTATACGTTGTGAAGGAGAAAGTCCGGAATCATACTAAAAGTAATGAATATAAAAGTAACAAGCAAGTGCTTGCGGATCTGCGTACAAAAGGCTTACCACCCAGTGTGTTTAGAAAACACACAGTCGACATGGGTTTATGGTATAGCCTATGATTTCCGAACAATAGAGGGCCCAAAGTTAAAGAATCTGTTTCAGAACAGAGACGTGTATTGTAGCTGTTAAATCTATCGGCGATTGACCGTGACGATGAAGCATGCTCTATGCACTAATCTGTGATGAAACAAATAAAAGTAAAAGGGATTAAAGTCAAAGTTTAAAGTTAAAGTATGAGTTAAGATCAAGGGGGAGAATGTTGGTTTGATCTCCCAACCACAGTGGCCCAACGACCACTTGGGCCTTGACCTCGCGCCCTGATCGGGGACGCCCAATCCATCTATGGCTGATAGGCCCCTGTCACACTGCGCATTAAATAGAGGTGGGGTCGGCGGCTCTCGGTACGAGGTTCGCCTGAGCCGTACGCCCCACCTAGAAACCCTACTCCAATCTAACAGAGGGGCGCAGCTAGTGACGGGAAGCACCGCCGCCGCCACGCCACTGCACTGCATCACCGTCTCCGCTGCGTCGCTTCTCTTCACCGACCGTCGCAGCCCGTGTGCTGCCTCCATCAACGAACCAGCGATGGCCGGATCGAGCTCCAACTCCACGGGATCCACTGGTCTGTGAACTCCTCACTCTCCTCACACCCCTCTGTCTCTCTTGTCTCTCTTTTCGGTGTAGTGTTCTAGGTTTACATGTGCATGTGTTATTTCGAATCCATGTGTATCCCTCCTAGATCCACTACTAGATGATCTAAATGTTTTAACACTGAAATAGCTGTTACTCTCCTGGTCAGTTCAGACAGAGATTCAGATTTCAGAGGTGCTGCCGCTGCCTGGAATGCTGAGCTTTCTGGCTGTGCGATCTCCTTACGAGTAGGTCGTTGTCGAATTGTTTATGCAAGTTTGTCAAGATTTGCTGTTAAGGAGGAGTGAATGGACCAGCAGGCAGCAGGCAGCAGCCAAATGGCTTGGCTAGTGAAGCGATCAAGCGAAAGAATATTGATGAGGAAGCTAGCTAGCTGTTAAGTGTTCGCCGCCGCCCAAGACGGAGACGGTTCAACAACTCGTATCAGTGTTCGTTTAAGCTGAAGGCAGGACGTACCAAAGCGTACTGCTTCACGCCTTCTTCAGGCGAGCGTGTAGTGTAGGTCTACGCAAAATTTTATGAAAAGAACAGAGGACGACTGTCCCAGTGTCAGACTGTCAGTGGGGTAATGCTACCATTAACGCTCCACTCATTGTCGCATGTGCCGCTCGCCTAAAAAAAAATCAAATCCCCATAGAAGCTTGTCTCCTCCACTCTGCGCTCGTGCGTGTCGCGGCTTCACTGCGCCGTGCGGCCCCTCAGACCGTCCCGCGCCGCCGCCCATCCCCACGTCATCTCCATCTCCCGCGGGAGAGGAGGAATCTTCGGCGTGAGGTATGCTGCCAGCCACCCCACCAACCGCAGCTACCGCCGGACCCGGTCGCCGACGCCTCACACTCCACCTCCTGGCTCCATGCGCGTGCTCGACGAGTGCAGCGGTGCCTCCGTCCCTCGCCGTGCCCAGGCCAGGCGACCAGGAGAGTGGGGCGTCGTTGGCTAGGCCCAAACTAGGCGCAGGCACAACTGGTCACTGCCAGGACGTGTCACTATCCTCGGCTACCGACTGACCGAAAACCGGCCATCCCCCGCTCTGCGCTACGTCGTTCCGAAGAAGGGTGAAAAACGCATGTTGCGCGTCTGTTTTAAATGTTTTATAAGTATGTTGCAAGTGTTTCGTACGAATGTTGTAAAACTGGATGGCTGTTGCACATGTTGCAATGGTTGTACACGTGTGTTGCAAGATCCTGTTCTCAATGTTTTATCTGTTTTTTCTGATGTATGTTGCAAGTATGTTTATCTGAATATCACATATGTTTTTACACATATGACGCAAGTGTTTTATCTAGATATTGCGTATTTTACAATAGTTTCAAGTGTTTTTGCAAGTGTTTCAGATGCATGTTTCAAATGTTTCATTTGTTTTAGTTGTATGTTATAATTGTTGCATTTGGATGTTTCAAAACTAGATCGAGTGTTGCATCTCCCTCCTCGCCTTTCTACTGTCTCGCCTCGGTGTCAGGCGCGGGAAGTCGGAGGCAGTCCCCATTGGCGCGGGCAGACCCAACATGCTTGCGGGCGGATGCAGCAGGCGAGACATGGGCGGGCAGATGCGGGACACGAGACGGGGGGCAGCGGCGCGGGTGTCCGGATGTCTTGGCGCTAGCCACACCCCTAGAGCAATGCCCAGGGTGTGTTTGCACAATTGCATTATTGCACTATCGCACGGGAAACTAGATCAGTTCTTATATGTATCACAAAATACAGAAGGGATTGAACTTAAATTTGAGATTTTGCATGAAAGATCGTATAAAAATGCTAGAATAAAAAATATGACAGCACAGCGCCCCAGCAACATGGATATATTTTTTAATATTTTCAAATTCGTTTTTTTTTGCCAAAAATAAATTATCCAAACCAAAAATTTTCAAAACTATACTCCTGCCTCCGCTTGAAACTGGCGGGAAGTACTTACCACCGGTTGAATTGTCTGTATTTCCTTTTCTCTGCACATCACCTTAAAAAATCATAACTTTTATATTTGAACTCGGACGAAGATAAAACTTTATACGAAAGGTGTAGAGAAAAAGGATCTACAACTTTAAATTTATGAATTTTTCATTGGAAGTTGTTTTGATACCGAAAAAATTGATACAAGTTCAGATCTTTGACATTTGTAAATCTAAATATTATATCGATTATTTTAATATCAAGAGAGCTTTAAACAAAAATGTCGTGAAATGTAAGGTTGTCAATTTCATTGTTCAATATACAATTCTTATATACATTGAATTGGATACAACTAATATATAACTAGGGACGAAACCGGACGGAAACAGGCGGAAAAACTCCTTTCCATTTCCGTTTCTATATTTTTTTGTGGAAACGGGATCGGTTCGAAAAAAAAACGGAATTAAAAACGGATGGGGATATACGGAAATACGGAAACAGACAAATATGGCAGGAGAGCCGGAAAAATAAGTTAGAATAACATAATCAAATATTCTTGAGTATACATGAACAAAGTCACAAAATAATATACACGCACGAAATTATCGATCCAATATTCACTAGTATACCATGTGTTAACATGTTAACATGCATAATTTATGATTAGTAGGTTTATGAACATATCAATTTCTAGACATATCTCACATAGATTGAAAACGGGATAAAAAACAAAATAAATACGGGTCAATTCTGGATAAAAACGGGATCTCGCGAAACGGACGGAAAAACTCCTTTTCTATTTCCGTAAATACTTTACGGAAACGGGATCCCACAAATACGAAAACGGACGGAAGAAAGTAGAAAATGGAACGGGATTTTTTCCATCCGTTTTCAACCTTATATATAACCTAGGGTTATCAAAAGAAAAACTTTAACCAACATGCATTTGGATCTTAATAACGGATAAATAAATAAATAAATCATTGTACAAATTAAAATTGTTTTTTTCAAGAAAAAAAAGTTGAATTCAGCTAACTCAGTGAGTTTTTGGTGAGGTGGAGTGTCAACTGTCAATGCTTGAAGGATCCGTAGGTCTGCAGTATGGTGGAGATGAAGGTGATGAAGGCGACGAACTCGGCGACGACGGCCCATGGCACGGTGAAGTAGTTGCGCTGCACGTCCGCCCACATCATGAAGAGCGGGTGCTGGCTCCGCTCCCGCAGCTTGTGCAGCGTCTCGCCTAGGTAGCTCTTCTCCAGCTCCGCCGCCGCCTCGCTCGCCGCGCCCACGCGCTTGAAGAACCGCGCCACGTCCTCCTTGCTCTCGCTCCCGGACGACGTCACCACCTCCGCCGCCACCAGCACCCCCGCGTCCTCCGGCGACTGCACCAGCTTCGCCATGAGCCACACGTACGCCGACACGTCCCCCGCGCGCTGGTCCGCGGACTGCTCGAACGCCATCAGGTTCAGCAGCAGCGGCGCCGTCCGGAACTCGATCCGCAGCTGCGGCAGGCGCAGCCGGTCCTCGTGCGCTAGCTTCACGGCCAGCGGCACCGGGCCTAGCACCGACGCGATGCCCGCGGGCGCCTTGCCCGTGCTGCCGCCGCGCGCCTTCTTGAACCGCACCCACATCCGCTTGAGGTCGCTCGCCGAGGGCAGGTCCTCCCGCCCGTAGCTCGCGCGCCACCGGCTCTCCTCGGGCAGGATCGGGTACAGCAGCGGCACCAGGAGCAGCAGCGGGAGGCGCCGCAGCAGCCGCGCCGCCTCCTGCATCATCTCCACCGGCGCCGCGTCCTGGAGCCGCGGCGGCGGCTCCCACGTGGCTCGCGCCGCGGTGACCATCGCGTGGAGCAGGTGCAGGATGTGGCAGACGTCGTTCGCGGCCGGCAGCCCCTCGCTCATGTCGCGGCCCTTCTCGCCGGCGAGGTAGTACAGCACCAGCTTCATGAGCAGGTCCGTCGGCTGGTACCCCGTGGTGTCGAACCCCGGCAGCCTGGTGCTTTGGATGAGGTCGACGAGGACGAAGAACGGGATCTGGTTCTCGGCCAGGACGAGGTCGACGGACAGCTGCACGGGCCCGAACGGCGTGGTGTGCAGCGACGCCTCCTCCACTCCCGTGGCGACGTTGACGAGGTGCTCGATGATGAAGCAGCCGTCGAGCACCAGCATCTGGATCAAGTCCTCTGCGCTCATGTCGACGTCCTCGGCGGTGTACATGGCGCGGGCCTCCGGCTCGCGCACGGCGACGAGGCGGACGTAGTTCTGGATGACGGCGAGGTGGCTCGCCGGGTCCGGGTGGCCGCGGGAAATGAGGCTGTGGAGGTAGGCCATCTTGATCCGGTAGCCGGCGCGAAGCCGGCTGTCTGAGGCGTGGAGCGGGCCGATGGCGACGATCCCCGGCGTGTAGGCGTCCCGGTTGTGCTCGCGGACGTGGTCGGGGACGCGGGACACGCGGAGGGTGTTCATCATGATCCGGTGGTGCTCCGTCGCCGCCGCGTCCTCCTGTTGCTGCATCAGGCGGCGCGCCAGCCAATCCACGTGCACCGTGATGTCGTCGCCCGCCATGGCCGCTGGCCAGGAGCTCGTCTGGTTGGCTAGCTAGCGATCCACGTATTATATATAGCTCGCATTCGAGTGGCGAATCAAGCTAACAACATTAAGTTCTTAACTGAGATTGATCAGAGAGAGAGAGAGACGATGATGACATGAGCACGCAAGAATTTCTCGAGTATACGATCTCTGGAGTGATGGAGCAACTGGTAGCTTAGATTCGTAGCTTCCGTTGGTGACAAAGATGGCATACATGGAGAGACCACACATGATGAAAAAGTGAGTGCTACTGTCAGGCTGTTGTGAGCTGCTGCTAGCAGAGGATAATTCTTTGCTTTGCTTGTGGGATGCAGAACAGCAGGATATGCGTAAGCTTGTCGTTTTGAGTGTATTCTACTATACTATTCTTCTTCCAAATCACAAATTCACAATGTAATTCTTTTGGGTGAAAAACATGATCTGGAGGCAATCCTGGTTGCAAAGCAACCATAGCTTTTCTTCTGCAAGTAACTGGATCATGTTGATACTCTCTCTCTCTCTCTCTCTTCTTTTCTTTTCTTTTCTTTTCTTTTACGAGACATGTTGATACTCATTTGTTCAACCCACTAACTGATCATGTTGTGTGCTCAGAGTACAGACTGCTTGTCGACAACATCAATTATAGGACTTCAGATTCAGGCAATTAGAACGCAGTGAGGTATTTGTTGTAACATGTTCTTTGCTTTAAACTCTGAACTTGCCTGCCGTGGTTTGGAGTTATCTTTTTTTGTGACCACTGAACTTGTATTCCAGATCGCTTTCATGTTTGGTTGTACGTTGATCTTGTGGAACAAATTGTGAATTTGTGGCTT